CGGGTTGCACACGAGCTGGACCTTCGGTGCATCGAATAGTCCGTAGTGGTCCTCGCAGACGAAGCGCGCATTCTCAATAGCCTCCTGAGCCAGTTCTTGAACATTGGTCTTTGTGCAGATTATACCGACGTAGTTGGGATCGTTTCGCGAGCGTTGGTCTGTGAGGGCGATGTGCTGGCCGATGAGCATACGGATACCGATACGCGACATATAGAAACGGTCGAGGAAGGCTTGGATGTTGTGGTCGATCTGCATCCTTTGCCTCTTGCGCTTCCATTCGAGAATGCCTTGTGCGACTGTCGTAACGACGCTGTCGTGCCGCCTCTTGATCTTCTCCAATGTGTCTGCAAACTTGGTGTTGTATGCGCCCAGCTCTGGCGGCCATTCCTGTCCGTCGTCTGCCGCGGCATAGTATCTCCGGCTCGCGCCTTTCACTTCTTTTGTGATCGTGCCGCCGTTTCCGTTTCCATTGCCATTGCCGTTCCCGTTCGTCGTCGGCGCGGACCGGTATTGTCCTGTTTTGATGCTGGGGTTCTGCGTCGGCTTGCTCATCAGGTTCTTATCGCCGGCTTTCTTCGCTGGTTTGAGGAGTCGCTCCTTGACCTCACTCGAGAGGGTCGGCCGGGGCAGTTCGACGAGTTCCTGTCAGATGAGTCAACGCGCTCCAGCGAGAACCTTAGCAATACACACTTCGAATGACTGCGCATACCAGTCGCGCACTCTTTGGATCGATGGCATCTCATTGAGGCCATCTGGAAGTTCGTTGAGCTCTTCCACGCGGTGGGCTAACCGTATGGGCAGTTCTTCAGAAAGGAATTGTGACGCGCGGAAGAGGGTTCCCGTAGATGGCTTCTCTCCAAATTGTACCATTTGCCGTAAGGAGACACCTGGTGGCATGTCAGACGAATACTGTAAGTGACCATGCGTGCTGCATACCGGTTGCTGGAAAGTTGCTGTAGTGCTATCCAAATGTTAGCTACGACCGCGACTGTGCGACAGGCTTGCCCACCTTGATGGTGTCCATCAGCCTCTCGCTCCGTTTCCACGACATGATGCCAATTGTACAGGCCGAAACGGCCTTTGTCGCTGCGTATTCGCCAAAGTGGTGCTGGTGCTGGTGGTGTTCACTGTCGAGCTACCCGAAGCACAGTTCCCGCCCCACTATGACGCTAATTGGTCTCGCTGCTACAGGCCGAGGTAACGGCGCGTCTGGATGCTGGGGAGCGATTTGAGAAAGGGAAGAGTGAAGTGGAAGAGAGACGCATGTGCTCGTGTGCCCTATGACACAGACTAGATGGCTGATGTACACGGAGTCTTCCGGCGATGACACCACTGCGACGAGCACCTGCGCTTCCCCCACACTTGACCTGCTTTCACGTGGAGAAGATGTGGAAAAGGCGCCACGAAGCCTCACGCTTTAACTACTGGCATCCCGCAGCTGACGAGACACAATGTGTCTAGCTTTTTGAGTCCCTGTTGCTTTTACTACCCACGCTGTCTAGCGAAACGAGTTGTTGACATTGCAAGTCTTCCGCAAGCATCCATGAGCTCCAGCCACACGATCCTCGGTTAGCTGTCGGAGAAAGCACCGGTAGAGCGCATGTTCCTGGCTGCATGTTCCTCAGGTCCGAGGGTGCAAGGTGCTCGCTGCTCGCGTGAGTCGCTCCCTAGAGGCTAGCACTAGACTATTCTTCTAGTCTGTACATTTTGTGGAAATGCCGCTCAACGTGTCAGAAAATTTGCGATGTATGCAATTGGCTCATCATCAGCTAGATGTATGTCGTCTTAGATACGAAATCGATGCTTGACCAATTCTGCCGTCTTTGGAAGCAAATCGTAATGAATCACTGGGGGCTGCACGATGTTTGCGACTTGTTCACGGAAGATGATGAGCGTGTTGAATGATCGGTAGAGGAGATTTGGTATTCCGAAAGTGCAACTAAGTCCAAACAGGCTCTATGCCGCACCAAAGTCGAAAAGCGCCTTGAAATGATACACCTAACATAATCTACATGAAGGGGTATTGCGGTCTAACTGCGCTCACCGCCTCCGTCGTTCGTCTATCATCGATGATGGTACAATCCAAACAGTTTTTGGGTCGAAAAGGTATTATAGAAAGGTCATGGCGTGTCGATAGGATGGTATAAACGCTCGAGAGGTGATACGCTTATTTAGTCTCGTTCTGGAGGAAGGTGATCAAGTCGTTGCGGTCCTTGGGCTTCTTGAGACCACCGAAAGCCATCTTGGTTCCGGGAATGTACTTCTTGGGGTTCTCGAGGTACTCGAACTGTGCTTCGTCAGCATGCATACCCACCACGTAAGCGTCTTCTTGTGGTATAACATACAAGAGTCTCGTTGCCCCACTCAACGCCCTTCTGCTTGTTGGCGTCGGTGTATGAGAATCCCTCAACCTGGCCGGACTTGCGGCCGAAGAGACCGTGTAGGTTGGGGCCGATCTTGTTACCCTCGCCCTCCTTCAGGGTGTGGCACTGAGCGCAGCGGGTCTGGAGGTTCGTTAGACTAGGTTCGGGAGGCGTGGACGATGGCGCGGAGGCCGGTTCGGTGTGTTCGTACCTTGAAGAGGTTGGCACCCTTCTTAGCATCGCCTGAACAAAGTGTTAGTTGTATGTGGTGACAAAATTTCTTTGTCCAGGCAAACAATCCGCCACCGTCCGCCCTTTGTCGCAAAGCTGCCACCTTGCGCTCACCGCTTCTTGAGTTGTCAACTATTCGGTCGGGACACCGGGAATAATTGATTCCTCATAGGAGTCGGATATCGGTATGCGCGCAGGCTCAATGGGTAGCAGACGATGGTCGACAAAGTGACAGACGGCCGATGACGTCTAACCGGTGTCAAGAAAACGTACCCTGCTCGAAACCCATCTTGAAGATGTGGTGGTGGTTGAGGTGAGATTAAGTGTTGGTGGAGGTGAAGTGGTAAAAGTTAATGTAACTCTAGTCGTGACTGAGAGGTTGCGAGAGAGAAAAGATGGCCAAGTAGGAGTTGAGAGGCTTGAGAGAGTTTTAAGAATCTTGCCGTTAGCCGCGACGAAATGACGGGCCCAGGGCCCTGACGCGAGCACGGGTCACGGGACTAGCCAATCAGGCGACAGGTATAACTCAGTAGCAAAAAGTGCTCGGGTGGAACCGGTCCGGGATGGCAAACAGGAATCGCGATCAAATGGCGGTGCACTCGCCGCATCTGGTCTCTGTTCCTCAGCCAACTTGCCGTCGCTGCTTTCACGCCACGCCGTCCATTGCGACTCCTGACTCCCTAGGCTATCTCGCAACTTACTCGGCAATCTCGCATGAAGCTTGTGGGATAATGCCGTCACCAAGTGCTGCGTTGGCTGCTGCGAGTCTTTTTAGCACTCGTGCTGCGGTCAATCATCGTGAAGAATTTCGCTCTTCTTTCCTCCGGTGGTAGAATAAGCAGCGTCTGGCCTATTTGGTTGCCCTGCAGGACGCTTCTTCCCTGCTTTCCCTGGCCCGAATTCGATATGTGAAGCCTGTACAAGGGTCCGCAAATCGATGTGACATGCCCACTAACCCGCGCACCTCCACGCACCTGGTTCCCTAACATGACGGGCCAGGGTCATGAATAACGTTCTCTGTTATCTGCACAGCAGCCCATTACTATTTCAAGCGCCGGCCAGGATCGACACTATTCTGCCCTCTTTGCAAACAGCCTTCTAGTGTTGGTCAGTCGCACTTCAGCCCCAGCTCGACGGTTGACATCATCGTGCCCCGCCACACCTCGACCGACCGGATGGACCAGATTCCGGGCATTCTATACGCTGATGAGGACTTTACCACATGGCTGATACTCGGCGCCAGCAGAGGCATAGGGCTAGAGTTTGTCAGACAGCTGTTAACTAAGAATGAGCGCATCATCGCTACTGTACGGGAGCCTTGGGCCGGTCATGCCAGCGGTCTGTGGGGACAAGCGGGGAGCGATCATGGCCGATGCCAAATGTACACATGCGACATATTGTCAGAGCAAAGCATAGAGGTGTGTGCTGTTGACGATTGCGTTGTCATTCCAGAGGGGAACTAACTGGTCATCCGCAGAAATTCGTTGCGCAACTGGCCATGATACCGAACCTGAAGATAGACTACGTCGTACTAAACGCAGGAGTGCTAAGATACCCAAACGTAAGTCCGACATTGTCCACAGCATGCAAGGGAGCCGCACTAACCGATGTAGAGGGCCACTGAGCTGTGAGTCTTCCTTTACCGTTGCCGTTACGCCTTGCTGGTTATGGCTAAAGCGTGCATTTCCAATAAACGACAATCAATCTGAAGTGGCTGAAGTACTGGAAATTAACATTTTCTAGGTCTTTCGATGAGTTTGCCTTCCATTTGCATACCAACACCATTGGACCCATCATCACAGCGCAGAAGTTGCTGAAAACAAACATACCAATTGGCACCATCGTCTTCATGTCCAGCGATTCGGGCTCGCAAGGTAATTTCCGGGAGATGGAGGACGGATTCGCTGCATACGCTGCGTCAAAAGCTGCACTCAATATGGCAGTAAGGCACATGGCCGCCGAGTTGAAGAGAAAAGATGATGATACCATCATCTTGTGCATGCACCCGGGAGAAGTCGCAACAGACATGGCTAACGTTCAGCTACCGTGGGAAGTCCAGGGCATAATCACACCAGAAGAGTCGGTGATGAAGATGATCGAAGTGATCAAGAGCAAAGGCATACAGCACAGCGGCACTTTCTGGACTTATGAGAATAAGGTCAGTATCGTACACTTCACTCGCGGATCAATCACTGACATTGACCTAGCCGTACATCTGGTGACAACTGAAGATATTCGTAACGCTTACGACTCTCATACTCTTTGCAAAATCTCCGCTAAGCAGTACCTATACCCACATACTAGAATGTATATGCATTGTTGTTTCACGATCTTTGCTACCGTTCCCGTTCGGATGAATCTCTCATGCCCGTCGCCGTGGTCCAATTTCATCCACCACAGCCTCCATCAAGCAATTTCCCCGACCATCCGACGAACTTCGTCTGTGTCCCAATCCAGCCTCTCAGAACCAGCAGGTAGGCTATAGTCGACCAGAACCCGCACTGGTCTGATTGGTTTCGCCTTTTCCTTCTCCATCCGGCGACTCTTCTGCGCGCGCCGTGCCGCCTCCATGACATGTTGTATCTTCCTATCAGATTCTCCGACCACATATTTGCTGGCCATGTACGCCTGAGACTCTGATGCTGAGAGGCCAATCACACCAGTCTGTGTGATTACACTGTCTTCACGTTTCTGTCGCTTCCGGTGGTGCAAGTCTTTGTCTTCGTCACGCTCACTCTTAATGATGACAAGAGTCGGGGACGAAGACTTGGTAGTTGGGGAAGACATGGTCTTGTTGTTGGGCGCGGCACTGGCGTTCAGATACCTCCAGAATGAAGGGCAGCCGCATACACCGTCTTGTTCTGGGTTTCGGGGACACTTGCGTTTAGCCATTTTGGTGTCGGTATGTGTTAGATTGTGCCGTGAGCTTACACGGAAGTTGTGTTGTTATTGCGATCGAGATTGCTAAGGACAGAAAATGGAGACGAAGACGTGAACTTATATCTGATGAGGCTATGGCCAGTGGAGGACGTCTGTGCGTGTACAACGGCGCTGACTTTACGCAACAACTTGAGGGTGAGTGAACCTCTTACTGTATCAAAGCTGAATGAGAAGGTAAGGCAGGGCAGAAGTAACCGGTACCTTCACCTGGGTATATTCGTCGAACCTCGAGTCTAATAACAGAGCCCTTAACCCATCATATCAATATCATACAAACCTCTACAAGAATGTCTACCACAATCTCCCAACAACCCTTACCGCAATCTTGACCGCAACCAACGTCCCCACCGCCAAAACCCCCACTCCAATCCCCAACGCCTTAAGATTCCTCATCTCATTGCTCAACGCCACTTTCTTCCTCTCTCCAATATTTCCCAAATGCGTCAACGTATCATACTGCGGTACGTACTTGAAGTCAAACGACGTCTCCGTCCCCGCCAACCCCCACTTCGCCTTCACTATCAGCGTCCAGAAGATCTCTTTCGCGCGGTCGATCCTCCTGCGGTCTGCATTGGGAAACAGGCGATACGTGTAGCAGTAGAAGATGAAGAAGAGACATTGACCTGCCATCAGGGACCAGTAGTATGCGGAAACGCGTTTTAGGCCGAGGCGGTCGCAAAGGGCGTTGCCATTTAGCCAGCGGGCGCTGGCGGTTAGCATGTCTGCGGAGGAGAAAGTTGGCGGCTCTTCTTTCAACGCGTAGATGATGTTGTTGGCCATTGTTTTGGACATTTCGGAGGGGTCGACTTCGTGGTAGAGGAGCGATTCCATGATGGCTTTGGCTTTGGTTGGGGTGGATAGCCATTCGTCGGGTGTGCCCATTAGGTAGCCGATGTAGCGCCATAGGGCTAGGTAGTCGTCGATTTCCTGTTTGCGTAGGAAGATACCTTGGCGGGGGAAGCTGAGGTAGATTAAGGTTGATGAGAAAGTTCCGATTGTTGCGATTTGGTCGAGGTCGTTGATTGGTATTCCCCATTCTTCCACGTTAAAGTAGCTAGGCCGTTCCTTTGCGAGTTTCATGATTCGTTGTCGAACTGCGGCGTGCAGGAAGCGGACACGTATTGATGAGGCGAAACCCTCTCCGCCTGGTTTGAGTCCATCCAGTGTTCGCGTACATTGGAGGATGTGCTGTGTAGTCTCAAAGAGTCTGCCTCTTGCGACCTTTGTACTGAAGCCTCCAGTTCTCGCTAGTGTCTCCACCACTCGCGCAGCACCCATGCCACCTAGGAGTGACTGGAAAGTGAGACCAGTCAAGGCGGGCCCACCATAGCGATAGAACACATCCTGTCCTCTGGCGATCTGGTCCCAATCCACCCAATCCGGTACGGTGTGCACCTCGCGCCACAGTTCCGCAAGCTTAGGATCGGAGTTGTGATTTTCTTCCAGCAAGGCGTAAAGATCCCTCTTGGGTACTGGCAATGGCTCTTTTTTCTCTTCTTCGGTGCCCGGAACTGATGATAGCGCGGCGCGGTTGCTATCGTTCCTTGGCAGAGCACCCTTGTGCGGTGGCGAGATGGCGTTCAAACGATCAAGACATTCCTCTGCTAGTACATCGTACGAAAACTTCATAGGCTTCATTTGCTCCGGTGTAAGATGTTCAGGCGTCCATTCGAATCGGTATCCCCAGCAGCTGATGGCGGTTAGTATGCGCCATCGATTGTCTTCCGCTTCTGGACGTACTCTTTAGTGTTGGCTGTTCGCCTCTGGAACACATTTGGCATAGCCATGTTTAAGTAAATGAGAGAGAAACACAGGTGAACGACGTCGACACTGTCAAACACTCAGATATTCGACAAGAGATAATCATTACACGATGTACGGCGAAGATGGTCCGTCATATGATACCGAGGCCCTAGCGCGCATGGGTATGAGGGGATCCACTTCCATTTTTGCCGCGATCGCCCCGCGATCGATCTTGCAAGGAAACTGCAACGGAAGAGTTCGCTGTCGAGATAGCGTGAAGATGCAGGAGGCACTGACGCATGTTCGTTGATGTCACCACTCCGTCGCGTACTAGTGCGGAACAGATTTCGAAGCCGCAAGAGCGAGCCGGTTCCGATGTAGCGTCACACCTAGTGCTAGGTTAAACAGAACGCACCCTTCATACCAACGAATGCTACAAGTACATTATTTGTGATAGCCACCGTGCCGCAGACATGCATCCTAGAACGTGAATAGCGGGAGCCTCTCCACAACCCAGTACGTGTAATACAGTGCCGCGACTTGCTTTGACGGCGTCCCCAGCGTACTCTTGCTCACGATGGCCATGCCGAAATCGCCAAACCAAAAGAGGCCGCAGCTGAGCAGAACTGCTGCAACACCAAATGTCGCACAAGTTCTGAACTTGGAAGAAATGCATATGAAGATGCCGATCAAGGTTTTCAGTCCAGTCAAGCCAATCCATACAAGTAGGACAATAAAGATGGCAGTACCGAAAAGGCTTCCGACGTTACCCTCGTCTTCTTCGACTGTAGAGTGCGTATCAGTCTACCTTACACACACAAATGAAATCAGCACAACTTACAGGGAAACTCGTAAAAGGCATAGACGGAGAAGCACGACACCACTACGAGAGGAATCGCCCAGAAAGATGTCGAGTCACTCCAACCAGGAGATCCAACGCACATGCGATGTATGTGGATGATATCTATCAGAGCATGAAGTACGATTTGCATCCCCGCAAGTATCAGCAGGGGACGAGAGCCCTTTGTGCGTGCCATCGTAACTCCAGAAAGGATGATCGAGATGAGCGATGATAGTGTGACTACCGCGATGTTCCAGCGTTCCTTTTCCAGCGCCATCCATGGAAGCAAAGGCCTTCTGCCGAAGAAGTGACAGAGGATTACGTAGAAGGTCAGGCCATGGGAGACCGCACCGAGGACACCGTAGGGTATGCCGTAAACTTCGATGTGCTCTCTGAGGTTCTTCGCGTTTGTGGTAACGAGGTCGCGGGGCTCGGGGCTCGATATACGAAGGTCGGTCGGGAATGCGTCTGCTGCGAATGTAAGATAGGCCCCGATGAGTGCTATGGTGAAGAGTTGGCGAAGTCGTATGGTCATCTTGGAAACTGTTGATTGCTTGCTGTGGGGAAAGAATGAGAGTTCAGGGCAGGGTGGTTTAGAAGTCACAGCCAGAAAACAGGAGGAAGCAAGCACATATTTGAGCTGCTGTTGTGCTCTCTTTGATGTGTCGTATGAGATGGTCGCCGAGTTGCCATCCCTCAATAAAACGACTTCCACCGAAGGCGCACCGCGACCTGCGCAGCGTTCTACATTTGGGCATGAAGTTGAGGATTTTGTAGCACACCGTTTACATTAGCGAAAGCCTTCCGTTTCTTAGGGTAATTTCCGACCAATGGAAAAAGCCATTCGAGTCAGCCGCAGTTTGCAGCCTTGTGGCAGCTACCGTTACTTGTTCAGCAGCCGCTGGGTATGTCTGCGGAGACTTTTTCGATATCGTGTGTACATGGAGTGAAGCTGAAAAAGGTTCGAATTGACGAGAGCTGGTCGCAGGAAGCGAGGTGTTGTCTTGGCCTTTGGGGGCCGAAGCAGTGCAACGATGAGGCTATTGTTCGGTTTATGGGAAGTAGGAGAGGCTGGAAGTTGCTTGAAGAGGTAGGAGTTCGAGAGAGCATAGATAGTAACAGAGCATGACAGAAACGGTGAACTTAATGAATAGGAGCAGTGAGAGACTGGCTCAAGCTGTTCATATAATGCGCCAGGCAAGGAAGGACCCAAGATACAAAGGGATGAGATCGTTGGGATGGTCGCATGAGCTCTTGCAAGCGCTGCTGTTAGCGCCAAGTAGTATTGCTTGTATCGCGTTCCGACTTCCCAGAGATATCGGCTACGAGCCTTGAGGATGTTGTCATGCGATAAGATGAGGCTCCTGCTTTCTCAGTAGTGGCGACATGAGCGGATCATTGTTTCATGAAAACACATAAAACTTTCATTTCGGTAGTGTCATCGCCTTGACGTATTGAATGTTCCGTATTCAAGTCTATGACTGCGATGTTGGTATTAGAGCGCATGTTAGTCGCCCGCCTGTGGCAAGAGGTGAAGGTCCGTGCGATAGCCTAAGGAACTTCGAAAGGAAAGCACTATCGATACTCAAACTCCAACAACCATGAGTTGCCACAATTGCGCCAGAACGACGCTGACCCTGTTCATCCGCTCTTTTGTAAATAGCGAGCAAGTCCTCGCTGCTCGACGACCGCTGCCCCGTCCGCAACAATCGCGGTTCTCGACCGATGCGCGCCGATTGCGCAAAGTAGGGCCTATCATACCCACCGCGGAGCCACAAACAGCGGAACCAAAACAAGCCGAGATAGAAGATGCTCTCACGGGAGAGTTCGAGCGAGAACGAAGGCGCGAGCGCCCAGCATGGGCTGTACAAAAGGAAGCGCTGAAAGAGAAGCTGGGAGGCGAGGCATGGAGCCCGCGCAAGAAGTTGTCGCCCGACACCATGGAAGGCATACGGCATCTGCACAGCACACAACCTGATAAATTCACTACACCCGTCCTCGCGCAACACTTCAAGGTCTCGCCCGAAGCCATTCGCCGCATACTGAAGAGCAAGTGGCAACCTTCCGACGCAGAATACGAGGCCAGGATGGAGAGATGGAATAAACGTGGAGAGAGGATATGGTCCAACTTGGTAGAGATGGGTGTCAAGCCGCCGAAGAAGTGGAGAGAAATGGGTGTTGGTCGGGCTGAGAATGGGGAGGCGCCCAGGTGGAAGTCAAGAGAACGGAACCAGGTGGATGTTAGGGATAGCGTCCACGACGACTTTAAGGAATACGTTCCGGACGAGGAGCTCATACCGACTGTGGGCAAATCTGGGAGGTCGAAACCGACGACCAGCCGTGTGCCGCTATTCGAGAGACTATAAATGGAAGAATTTGGCATGCGCAATGCTCATAGCAATCACACGTCCCACAAGAAGCCGCTTTTGGTGCAGACGTGATGACCTTACAAGGCACTACCTTGCAGGCAGTTGCCCACAGGCTTGAGAACCCGGTGCTTCTAGATCTCTCAGCCTTGCGTCGCTCCTCCACAGCCTTTCCAGCACGCCACGTGAGAGTGCGGGGTACAGTCACTTCAGGCGCTCATCACACCCACACTCTTATCATCACCGCTTCTTATTTTTCGGTATGCGCCTACTAGACACGAAGGAGCAAGGGTGGTGTGATATTGGTAAAGAGGCACGGGACTATGCTGTGTTGTCACATCAGTGGGAAAAACCAGGAGAGTATGGGTTTAAGGATCTGGAGTCGAAAAAACCCATGAGCACGAAGATTGAAGCTTTCAGGCAAGAGTCCAGAAAGAGAGGATGTACGCACTGTTGGGTGGACACATGTTGTATTGATAAATCGTCGATTTCGGAAGACAACGAAGCAATCGCTTCGATGTATTTATGGTTCAAGAACGCGAAGTTGTGTTGCGTCCGTCTAAATGACGTAGAGGAGTCCGAGAATAACTTCGCCAAGGCAGGTTGGTTCACCCGGTCTTGGGCTTTACTCGAACTACTTGCTCCCAAGCCTGAATCGACGTTTTTCTTCGACCGTGACTGGAAGCTTCTGGGCTCTAAGACGGAGCTGTCTGCGATAATCAGCAAAGTCACCGGAGTCCCTACCGATGTGCTCCTTCACGAGCGTGACCCAATGAGTGCCACGATTGGCGAGAAGCTATCTTGGGCATCAACACGAGATGCTTCGAAGAAAGAGGAGGTAATCTACGCTCTTATATCTCTGCTAGGCCTGCGAATGGCCATGCGACCTGGAGAAGGGCAAGCAATGGCGACAATGCGCATGAAGGAACACATACTAGGGAGCCTGGAGGACTATACGGTGCTAATGTAGAAAAAGCCTCTGGGCCTGGCACATGGGCGTCGCGTCGAGACGGAAGACTCTGGCGAAGATCCCGAGCGAACAATGGAGCAGCCGATGTGGAGTCAAATACATTTACATTCACCTATCGACCTTGTCTCCACCGAAGGTCTCAAGGACTACATTCCCGGGTTAGGAAAACCGCCTGCTAGCCCTCAGCTGACAGGACGTGGGCTCAGGGTCACACTTTTGGCAAAAAGTGTCCGTTCGTTCATGATTGCATGGACATACTGCACGCAGAAACGAAACGGAAGGCTTTACGCTGTCTGTATTCGCATCGTATCTGTTGGGGCAGCTATGAACACGCAGGATGCGTATATCAGAGGGGCTACAAGTGGCCTTGTTTGTTACGTCTCGGTCGATCGCTTGAGGTCATTTCATTTTAAGGATGTTTACTTTGACATTAGCCCGGAGGTCTAGAAAGTAAGCCTTAGGGATTGACAACTGTTAAATTACTCCTCTAAACAGAGAGTCACGATAGCACATTCTAAAACTATAGCGCCCACTATCCCTTACTCATGGCTGATGTGAATTCTCAAGCGCCCATCTCGAAGGACAGTCTCTACCACTTTGGCATTGTGTTCTTCCCAGAGATGAGGTAGTACAAGCTTGGCATCTCCATCTCCCAGATTGACTCCATTCCTATAACGTTCGTAAAACTGGGGCTTGATTTCCGTCCAATCGTCACCACGCACAAGATCATACCTCCATTGGTTCTTAGCGAAGTGACAGACCAAAACGAAGGTATCAAAAGCGTCTGACCACTCTGACGATGAGTAATGCATATATCCCACGAACACACCAGTGTGCCCAGCATACAATATCTTCTCCGAAGGCGACCAGCTGCCTGTAGGCTCTACGCAGACTAACGTCAGTTCTTCTGGCGCTTGGATAGGCAGGACATGTGTGTCGATTGTCTTTGACTGCTCGAGGGAGAGGATCTTGACGTGAAAAGATCTGTCCGCAAGTTGAAGTTGTTGTCTTCCTTCGTCACCACTAGCCAGTGGCTCAAGCCTCTCACAAGGTCGAGCGCGAACGAATAGGTCCATCCCGACCTGCCGGAGGAATACGGCGAGGTTCTCTCCCTCGATGTATCCATGATTGACTGGCAGCAAAAAGTAGCCACTCTCTTCATCTTGAGTGAGCGGCAGATGGAATCGTATGCCGCGATTGGTGATGTTGTACTCTCGAGACTGAGCCAAAGCATCCGGGCTGAAAACCAACGTGTCCATCCTCACAAACAGCTCTGGAGAGGTCGCCAAGAGACCAGTGTACTTCTGCGCATTGTCCTTGCTACGCCATGCAAAGATTGACATATCCCTGCTTTGCTTGATGAGCTCTTCCTGTAGTCGCAAGAAAGCTTTATTTCCTTCTCCGTATAACAGCGGCATGTTGATATCAAAGATACCAAGTAGGCAGTATGCGGTGTCTTCGATGTACTTGGTTTCACGAGAGGATGCCCACGACATCCGTACTGCTACTGGGACATCCTCAAGTAAAATGGAGCCATTCAACACCCCGCGCTGGATTTTCGCTGCAGCCTGGATATCCTCGCTCAATTCGATTTTGTCGCCACGACACTGCCAATTCGCGTCGTAGAACTCCACGCGCTTCGGGGCCAGCAGTTCCTGAAGCGTCCACCCGCGTTTGAACCACCTCGACTCCCTCAATCCATCTCTCGATGTTGGGTCCCAGTCCGATAAGAACGCGATACAGTACTCGGCTTTTTGGTAGTATTGAAACATCGAGTTGATGGCCTGTGACACTTCCGCACTGCTTGTCTTGTCGATGCAGCATGTATCCATCCAGAGATAGCGATATCCTAAATCCAGTGCGATTTTGCACGCCTGCTCAACTTTTGAGTATCCAATTCTTCCCGAGGCTGAGTCTGCTCTCATGTCTTGGTAAGTGACTTCGCCTTGACCCCATGTATGAGACAGTATCGCATACTTGTCAGGACCACTTTCCCCCACTTCTCGCACCTGGATGAGCTCCGTATCGACGAAACGCATGATAGTATGCGCGATTGTATCTTGATCAGCTACAGGTTACTAAAGATCATTAAAGAGAGGTGTATCGTCAGACGATGCACAACCCTGAGATGTCAATCAGGCTGTAAATTATGTAACAAGCCTAATGTTGACGTGGTTGGTCGACTTGTCTGAGCTACGTCAGCGGCTGCTACGGATAGGTATCGTCAGACAACGTTCTTGCTTGAAACGCAGTGGTTTTAGCGGTAAGGGTTCCGAGGCTCCGACAGTGATGCTGGCGGTATGAACAAGTTGCGGCCAGCGGCAAGTCTACAGCCGGCTGCTGTATGGCTCCGATATCTTTAAGGTCGCGCGATGGCTATTCTCTTCGTAACAGTCTCAGAAAACCTAATTAGGTTGTTTTGGGGAATAGGAGAGTAGTCACACTGTTATATACTATGCAGACAGATGGCGCGGGCGGTTCTCCGTTAATGTCATCTGTCGTCTAGATACCACCATCTCTCAAGCCCACCAAGAGACTACTCATGTCGCGAGGATTCTAGGGCTCATAAAGTTTTGCAAAGCATTGAGTGCTCTCAGCAATGGATGTTAAACCTTAAGTAGCGAGGAAAGAGGCGCAGCATCAACATGTTACCCTTCGATAAAAGCTACGGATGTGAAGGCTACATGGGCTCTACAAACCTCCGATTCCGGGAACGGCCACAAAGCGCGTGCAAGCCACAGCAAAAACGGTCACCCAAAAGAAATTCTGGCGGGGATGGTGTAGTGGGTGCTGGACCGGGTGCACAGCCCTTGAGCTCTAAATGATACCTAGGTAGCAATCCTGCAAAGTCTCCGATTTCCGAAATGACTACAAAGTGGTGGGTGCAGTCTGACTTCGATGGTGTTTTTTAGTGGAGACGGAGCGCAGGGAACCACACGGCGGGTCCTCACTAAATGCAGCCCGAGGCGAGGAACGCTAAGAATGCGCCACATGCCACCCGACAACACATTCTCACTTCTGTCTAACGGTCAGCCACTCACACACCGTCCGAGCCTTGTGGAAGTTGCAGTCAAATGCAGTGATCGACTTCGCGTTGCCGTTTGGGGTAGTCGTAGAGAGCACAGGCTTTCGGAGCAAGCGCCTTCTGGTAAGCGATGGGATGCGCCATTGGCCCATTGCTGTACGTGCTCGAGGCCACCATGTGTAGATAAATAGATCATTCCCCTAGGAGACCAAACAATATGTAACAAGATTCTGGACATTTTGACTTGAACTATTCTCAATCATTCCTATACATTACCACTACCATCACGGAACTATCCGGTCACCCCGTCGGTGTAAGCAAAATGGCACATCTATGTACATACTTACTCTTCTTGCTCTTATTCCCAGTTGATGGTATCGCGTCTCCAACACTGCACATGCCGTTGAATCAGAGAGGAGTTGCTCCTATCGACCATCCATCCGCTGTCTGGTCCAACGAAGCAATCTTTACATTAGTCGGCGTCTGTGTAGCTGTTGCCGGCATCCTAATCGGACTAGTATCTTCGCCTAAGATGCGGCAGTGGCTATGCCTGCCACTCAAATGTAAGCAACCCTAATCCTTGCTTCAGCTTCCGGTGAGCTTTGTGCCTAGGTGGCTGACATATATGTGGCTCACGAAGACTTTTCGAAAAGAAGACGAATGGAAAGATTACAAGTACGCGTGAACGCTAGGCGACAGCTGCAAGAAGAATACAACGAGTACCTCAGGTTCAACGAGTTTCTGGAGATGCGAGGAGAGTCCTCAAGAGCTAGTCGCCCTCGATGATAACGGGAGCCGATCTACTCAGTGCGTCAAATGTCCACAGTGACGGAAAGCACATTCTTCTTACTCCATGTTGTTCTCATCCTATCTTCCGCAATGTATCTATCCTGCATATACCCAATCGCGTTTAGCGAACACGATCTTGACCAACAATACTACCCATCATTGCAAACCTACCACTATATCCAACTACCCATCTACTCCGTCATGTCCAGCACAACCCGGCCCTGTAGCTTGCCCGCATGCATCTCATTGAAAACATCGGTAAGCTTATCCATCTTCTCTGTCCTGAAATGAGTCTTAACAATACCCCTCGCGGCGAACTCCATCGTCTCAATGGCCTCCTTCCGCGATCCCACAGCTGATCCAACAATCTGCAGCGCTTTGGCGACCATGACACCAGGGTTTGCGCTCTTGATAGGTACAACGTCGCCCTCGGGAATACCGACACATACGACGCGACCGCCGAAACGAAGTAGGTCTACAGATTGAGCGTAGGCCATGTTGTTCGCTGTGCATACAACGACGGAGTGAGCACCGAGACCGTTTGTAAGTGCCTGAACAGCCTCGACCATGTTCTCTGTGCCGTCTACGGGGATGAAGTGTTCAGCGCCGCTTTCCATGACGATGTCTTTCTTGGAAGAGTGGTCGATGCCAATGACGCGGTGGCCGATTCCCCTGGCACTGAACTGTACGGCCAAGTGACCTAGTCCACCTCCAGCACCCGATATCACGACCCAAGCGCCTGACTCGGCGTTTGTCTTGCGGAGCGCGGAGTAGACTGTCACACCTGCGCATAGGAGCGGTGCAGCGGCTGCGGAATCGAGGTCGTCGGGGATGGGTGTGACGTAGTTTGCGGGAGACAGGACGTATTGTTGGAAGGTTCCTGGGGTGTAGTATCCTGATACTTTCTATGCACCTGCATTAGTGATCGCGGTCCAGAAGAAAATGGTCATAGGCATGGGGAAACTTACTCCTGAGAAACACGAAGCGTCCATACCCGCCCGGCAAGCCTCACACGCCTCACAAATTCCCGCCATCCACTTGATTCCCACACGATCCCCCATCTTGACTGCCGAATTCTCTGTTCCTGGTCCCATCTTTACGATCTTTCCTACGCCCTCGTGGCCACCTACTTGGCCTGCTTGCGTGGGGAAAGGTAATGTTTTCCACGAGTTCATCATAACGCCTAGATCGGAATGGCAGACACCGGAGTGTGTGAGGTTGATCAAGACTTCGCCGGCACCAGGCTCGGGCATGTCGAGGTCGACGATTTTGGTGGAGATCGAGCCTGGCGCATCGTAGATGGCGGCTTTGTATTTAGAGGGGAGGGACATATTGGGTGGTTGATGTAGTGTACTGCACGATATAGAGACGATTCGGACGAGACGATGAGGGGAGGGGAGGAGGAGCAGTAAGAAGGAGTAGATTGAAGTCGAATTGAGGCAGAATGAGAGACACCTCCATACATATACCCTTCCCCGCACCACCCAAGCTCCATAACGCGTCGAGCTACCCACACTGACTCTCCCCTAGCTAACAACCGTATCTCTACCCCACACCAGCCCCGTCCAACACAATAGATACGTACCCATTCGCATACCTACCTAGATGCAGCACAGCTCTCTCACCCGCAAACTACCTCACCCATCTACCGGACCAATAACACTCTTGTCATATTCGGACCGCAATCCATGCCCAGCTGTACTTCACGATAAACACACGCGTCAGCAAGGTACAGCACAAGGTATCCACAAACCCAAGGTTAACTACCTAAACAACCGAAGCCGAGGCAAACAGCCAAAACGCGTGACCATATAGAGCTGAAGTTTACCCCGCACCCACGATTGGGGGGAAAGCTGTAAGTGGATTGGGAACGAAGGACCGAACTAGACTACGTCAGGCGGGATGCATCTGAGCGCGGATGTGGGGTTGAGCCAAGACGTCCGAAGTTCCGTTGCTGCACATATGAGTAAGCTAGGGGTATAAGAAGTGGATCTGAGCGGAGATTGGGAAGTATCAAGGCGTGCAGTCGATCTACAATTTTTTCTTTGGTGATACAGTCGGTGGTTTGGATTTTGCGTTCTTATGTGTATGGAGTCTGGGACGGTGGGGTAGAGCTTGTGGTGATGCGACTGTGGCAGCTTCAGCCACTGAACTTTATTGTGGAAGGCGCGTCATTGTGGCGACAGATCTAATCAACTAAAAAATTCTTTGAATATGTATACGAAGATAGTGGTTGTGAAGGGGTTGAGATGGATCTAATGGACAGCTATAGTACAAACTGTCTGCGCCCCATCCAAAGCATCCATTAAAAGTTTAGCAGCGTATGCACATGCTGCGTAGCACCTCCCTTTCCTTCTACTAGAAAAGCGTATCGAAAAGTGGTATAGTACAGAATCATTCGCGCATGTAAGCGTTAAGGGCGTTAGAAAGGGAAAAACTCCCAAAGAACAGAACACCTTGAGGACCACTATATGATCAGGATATACCACGAAATTCCCAATGATGCTTCTCCGTTCCATGCTAGAAATATGTTGTGCGCCGTATGTGAAAATTTATGCACCCTGATTAGTTATGAAATGGCTGGCAAGAAGCTCGTCAGCACTGGGACGCTTCTCGTGATCGATGAGGAAGGTCTGGGCCAGGAAGGTTCGGGCGTCGTCGCCGGCGTTGTCGGGAATGGTAGGGCTAGCATCGCCACTGCCACCGATCTTGAAGATGGCCTGCAGTTGAGTGCAGTTAGGATGCGGGTGACTTCCAGTAAACATCTCGACGACCAGGCAGCCGAGCGACCAGATATCGGCTTTGCGGGTGTAGGCCGTCTGTCGAACGACTTCTGGTGCCATCCAGAACACTGAACCTTGAAGGGAGACGCGCTGAGCTCCCTTCTTGCCGCCACCCAGTGTAGAGGCTTCAATGCGCTTAGAGATACCGAAGTCGGAAATCTTGACCGAGCCCTTGTTGTCGACAAGGATGTTTGCACCCTTGATGTCGCGGTGAATGATATCCCGGGAGTGAAGGTACGAAAGACCGGTCAGAATCTGGCGTACGAAGTTCTGAATGAGGGATTCGCCGAGCGGGCCGTAGTTCACCAGCATGGTTGCCACGGAACCA